TAGGCGCTGCTGCGCTGCGCTTCATAACATAGTAGGCTGGGTGGCTAGTTCTGACTTCAATCTACAGCACTCATTTTCTTGAGCTGAGCCATCAAGGCTGGGAGTGCTCAAAACGGTGGGTTGCGCGTCCCGCTAACCTCGATCTGGGCAAGGGAGCGGCAAAAACCAGAAAATGCTGATGTAACAACACAAAGAGATATTCTACATGGCATTATACATGATTTGGGTCACATGGCTGCAGTAGCCTGGCCAACAAGGCGCGGTGCTGAGTCCGCAAAGGCTCACCCGTGCTTTTGGTGTCAGAAACGTGCTCAAAACCCTGTACTCACGTCTTGGCGACTCTTGTAAACGGGCAGATCGCTGCTTGATCAAGGCTAGCGAGCACCGAGACGTATGGAAGCACGTGAGGGGCGTGCGCGTGCGCTGAATAACATATGATTATTCGAAAATGATGCATGCAACACTTGGCAATCGGCCTATCGACTACCTGTTTTGTGTTTCCCGCGTTGTGCTAGCACTCAACTCCCTGGGGGAATGAGGGTCGTCTGCACTTGTTGTTGAGCTGTAATTCGATCTAGAGAGGCTGCTATGGAGCGTGCCTGGCACTGCTGAGCCCGTTGCACGGTACCGCCGATTTAAAACTGGCGGCTGGCCACCACCACATGAGTCCCGCCATGCCAACCTCCGCACTGCCCACTGGTTGCGCAAACAGTAGCCTATCCTATGAACAGCATACGTATAAGACTCCATGCTCGTTTTGATGCGGCACTGCCTGCAAAGCAAGCTTGCTGTTGAGCGCTGTGGCCAACACCCATGACCGACTAGCAAATGTGCTCAACCTGGCACTTACACAGGACAATGCTGTACAATTCGTCGGATTGCAACACAACAGCCAGACACCGGAGTAAGAAAAAGGTCTCGTTGAGCAGGCCCATTAAACTTCTGATTTGTGCTCGATGCAGGTACGAAGGCGTGGGAGGCGGAGCAGACCCTCAGCCAGGGCAGAGTATTACGAAAAAGAACACAGAAGTAGCGCGGAGCATTAGCCGTTAATCAGGGGGCCCATGATTGGATGCAGCCCACCTGCCGTCGCCAACATAATATGAGCATGTCTTGTCCCCCTCCCCCCCCCCCCCCATCCGGCAATAAGCGCACGGGCACGAGCCACGTGCGCCCGGTTGTTGGGCCCCGCCGCCATGTCAGCACCTGGTGCAGGGCCCGCAGCTGCAGGGCCCTTAGGCCCATCACGCCTCCCTCGCCCGCGCCGCGGCCCATTCGGCGCGCGCGCTGCTGGCGGCCTGCTGACGCTTCACTTTCTCGCTCTCTGGCAGCCCCCGCCACGCCGCCGCCGCATCCATCAGGCGCTGCTTCCCGCTGCGGGGCTCGCCGCCTGGCTCCTCGTCACGCCGCCGCGCGACCGTCTCGGCCACGAAGGCCGCATAGGCGGTGAGCGGCGCGCGCTCGGCGTCCGCCTTCTTCTCCGCCTCCCCTCGCGCCGCCGCCGCCGCCAGCTTGGACTTCAGCGCAAGCGCCACATAGGGGGCCTTCTCCGTGTCGCTCATCGCCCCCCACGCCTCGCCTGCGCGGCGGAGCGCGTCTTTCCCCGTGGCGCCGCCCGCGAACCAGCGGGAGGACGTCTGCTGGATGAATATGGCGTACGCGGTGAGGGCGCGGGGGACGTCGCCGGCTGTGGCGGACTTCTTGCGGCGCTTGGCGCCGGCGGGATCAGCTGCCTTCACATCCTTTGCAGCCTGGGCACGCTGCAGGTAGGGCGCGCGCTCCGCGTCGCCCAGCGCCTTCCACGCGGCGCCCGCGCGGCGCACGCCCTCTGCAAAAGGCTGGCCGCTGGTGAAATGCTGCGCCGACGTCGCCTTCACGTAAAGGCTGAAGGCGCTTGGGGTGCGTCCGGCGCCCTTCGACTCCGCCTCGGCGATGTCGAGCGCTTTCTTCCTGGTACCGGCCACGGTGCTGGCCGCCTTTGTTTCGTGGGGTTTATTTGCGAATGGGTTGCTGCTGGCGAGCAACCTTCGCAGTGCTCCCGCTGCAGGGGCCAGCACGCTACCGCCTGTGCTGAATGCATGCGTCGATGCTGATATCAGGTATGCCATGTGCGTGCTGCAGATATGCTGCCTCGAACCCCTGATCAACACTGCCAGATCTGCGGTGTCAACCCTCTGTCAGGGTGAAAGCACGTTCACACGGGGCCAAGGAAATTGGCCAACTTGACGAATAACGGTATCGCACCACTGGCGCACGCCCTCCCCCCCTGAAGACGGTCTGGGCGCTGCCAAAAAAACTGCTTGCATGGCAGACAATCCCGCCCAGATTTGAATTTTGGAAGGGAGACTGGCAGCAAACTGCAAAGAGTAACCAAGACACTGGGAGCCATGGTAACAAGGGCTACTGATACGTGAAGCTAAAGGGCAAGCGGCAAGCATTGTTTGCGGTGGTCCCCACCAAGGGGGGGGAGGGTGGGGGTGGGCAAGCACCTAGAGCAGTCTGAGGATCGACAAGCCTGCTCAGCCCCGTGCACGTTGGCAAACAACATGAATGTCGCTATAACGACAAAAGGGAAAAGCAGTGCATTGATGGGCGCAGTTCAAGAGCAACCCAAGTGTGTGCGAGTGAGCCCACTCAAGGGCGCATAGGGCAACAAATGGCAGGAGGCTGTCAAGCGCATTCCACCGCCTTCAGCACCGACCACCAGCCTTTGATATGATCACTGTACAAGATCCCACCTCCCAGTTCTTGCTTGTTCTCTTGGCGAGTCTCTGAGCCGCAACATGCCCTGGCGCCGACGGGCGGTGATGCCAAGAATTGGCCTGGCAGCACTCACACGATCCCCCCCACAGCAGCCTGCGCCCGGCTGTCTACTGCTTTCGTCATCCCGGTGCCGCCCCCCATGCGCAAGCCGGCCGTCCGGCGCCGCCGCGCCTGCGTCAGCACGTGCGCGCCCACCGCGGCGGCGGCCAGCAGCGCGGCCGAGGAGAGCGCCAGCGCCGCCGCGGAGAGCGCCTTGGTCGTCCGCGCGTCGGCGGCGGCCGAGTCCCTCAGAGCCTGGATCTCCCCGCGCGCCGCTTGCAGCTGGTCCTGGGTCTTCTGCAGCTGCGCGGCTTCGTTCAGGGTATAGCTGCCGCGTTTTGCAGAGAAGATGTACGGCGCCATACCCACGAGCGCTGCGGGCGCGAGCGTGTGCAGGCAGCGGCGACAGCATCAGCATGGGAATCAGGCGTGAGCCAGGGCCGGGGCGCTGGGCGAAAGCAAAAGCCGTGGCGGTGCCAACCCTGCTCCAGGCCTGCGCCGGTCCCAAAGCCTGGCTCCCCAGTCATGCTGCTAAACCCCTCCCGCTCGGGGCCCCGAGCAGGGCCGTCCTGTGCTCCGTGGCCAGCTGCCACATGATGCGTCAGGGCCTGGGTGCGCCCCTCCCCACGCACGTTGGGTGCCGTTCTCGAAGCGCCACGCGGGGAAGGCGTTGTCGGCGCGCACGAGCCCCTCCCACTGGCGCCTCACTTCCGACAGCAGCGCCGGCGGTAGCGGCTGGAAGCCTGCCACAGGCAGAGCGTCAGGCGCGAGCAGAAGAGGTGCTCAGGATGCTTGCTGCGACTCAGTCGCTCTTCTTGCGAGAGGGATCAAACGGGGATACACCACAGCACGCAGGCAAATAAGCAGAGGGTAGTGGTTCGCGTATGCGCAACCCTGTGCTTATCACCACGCGCAAACTGGGACTTCAAGCGGGCGCGCGGCGGCGGCCCACCGAATGTCGGCAGCAGCGTCCCCTGGACCTCGTCCGACAGCAGGTGCGTCGCCAGCGCCCGCAGCAGCTGCCCGGCGGCCCCCAAGCTGGTGGCGTCAGTCGGCAGGTACAGCATGGTGGGCAGCGCGATGGGCCAGGTCGCCGGGCCGGGCAGGTTGACCAGGGTCACGCCGGACCAGTCCGCGTCGAGGGGCGGCATCCGCTGCGCAAAGCTGCAGGAGGCGGCAAGATTGAGAGGCGGCGCGGGTGTGCGGGGGCTGGTGTGGAGGACGCTGATTTGGCAGCGGTGGGCGAGGTGGCCGGGTGGCAGTAGGGAGCAGCACGCGAAGGGGTGAGGGGCGCGCAGAGCAGCCCTCGCTGCTTACAATAAGCAGGCACTGTGCAATCCGCAACGCCGCAAGCGCAGCGAGCAGCCCGGGAGCCAGGCCAGAAGGCAAAGGGGCAGCTGACGCGTTGCGCCAGGAGGCAGCAGGCAGCGGTGCGTCTGGAATCTCAGGCCATGTGAGCGCTGCGTGCTTGCAATAGCAGGATAGGTGGCCAAGGCAGCAGCCGAGGGAACAAGTGGCACGCGACGGCCGGGAACAAGCAAGGCGCTCCTGGATCTCACGTGCTCACGACGGCACCCAGGTCGGCCTCCTTGGCAGTGAGCTCGCGCCCGTCAGCGTTGGTCAGCGCCACCTCCTGCAGGCCCGCGTCCCAGCCCTGGGCGGACTCGGCGTAACTGCAGGGCGGCCGTGTGTGTGTTTGTGTGCATGATGAATATTGTGTGTGGGGGCCGTGCGTGTGTGTGTGTGTGTGTGTGTTTCTGCTTACATGGTGGGTGCATATCCGGGTCTGTGCTTGTGCTTGTGCTTGTGTGTGTGTGTGTGTGTGTGTGTGTGTGTGTGTGTGCGTGTGTGTAGGTCGTTTCACAGGCTGTGAACTAGACGGCGATGATCCCCGGATGGCGGCGCTTTGGGACAGATGCAGCTTCAATACGCCCCGTCGTACGAAACCAGCTGTGGCCCCAGCAACGCACGATCAGTGCTGAACAAGCCATACGCAACACCCTGAACCCCGCTGCCCTCACCCGATGCAGTAAGCCACCCCTGCCAACGTGTCCACCAGCCTCTGCGTGTTGTCCTGCGCGTGCCCCACCGCCGCCAGCCCCGCCGGCCAGTCCGCGGCGGCCGGGGTCGCCCACTCCCCGGGGCACGCCTGTGCTAGGTAGGCGGAAAGCCCATAGGTGCTGCTCGAAGCGCCCCCGCGCCTCAGGACACAGATGGGCTGGCCGCTCGGCACCTTGAGGCCCGGGCTGGCTGAAGATATTTGGGGGTCGTCCCAGGTTGTTATCTTCCCGCTAAATATCCTGCGGGCAGAGGTGCGAGGACGGTGGTGACGGTGGGCTGGGTGACGCAGTGGGCTTGGACGCGGCGGTGCTGGGTGGGGTTGCCCGTATCAAGTGGCGCAGTCGCGGCAGAGGGCGAGGGGCGGCAGCGGCGGAGCCAGCAGTCAGCGGGGCCGCACTTGGCGAGGAGGCAGGGCGGCAGCCTGAGGGCCTTGGCGCCCGGGGCGCTGTGGAACACGCTGACCGTGCCGACCAGGAACGGGACCTGCCGGGGGAGCGCACGGGCGCGACGCAGGGCTCAGCAAGAGCTCAGCCGGTGGCAGCGTGGCACGGCGCACACACGCGGCGCGCTTGCAACCCTCGGGTGTGACGAGAGCGCGCCACCGACCCGTCCCACGTGACCGTGTCAGACCCCAACTGTGCTCAAGTCCCGCAGCGGCCTGCCCTACACATCCCGTCTCGTGGCGCGCCTCCACCCCAAGAAGCCTCACGTGGACCACGCCCGAGTCAGTCCTGGTGAACCCCAGCCTGCCGCCGCCGCTGCGCACGCGCGCCGCCGCCGCCTTGAAGCCGGCCGCGCTCATAGGGATGTCCCCGCAGCCCCAGTCGCTGACGCCCGCCGCAAACTCCTGCTGCCCGACGCCCGAGCCGACGGCGCGGTAGGTGAAGCGCACGGCCGGGCGGGCGCGCACGGACAGGTCGTCAAACACGCGCCACAGGAGCATGGCGGGGTTTGAGGTGCCACTGCCGTGCAGGCCTGCGGGCGCATGCAAGCGACAGGGACGGATGTCGAGTTCCAGAGGAGTTAGTAGTGGCCGCCACCTGGTTGTTCTCCTCTCCTTTGCCAGAAGGGCGCTGCCCAGCGTGACCGCGCAGCGTGCTGTTACGGCTACCTTCCACCGGTGCCGATGCAGGCGGCGGGCTGACAGGCGAAAGGGAGCGCGTGATCAGAAGCAAGTGCGCGTCTGGCCCGCAGGCCACGCACCGACAGCTGCAGTTGGAGGCACGCCATTCACGGCGTTCGGCGCGCTGGCCTGCGGCGCCACTGCAGCAGGTGGCTGGCCGCTGGCAGCTCGTGCTGCTGCGAGCACCGCAACTACCGTCCATACAGTCAGCGTCACCGGTCGATATCCCATTGAGCTTGTTGCCTTTTGGCCTCTGAGCGCCGGCGCGGGTCAGTTTCTCACGAATCACCGCGCGTGTCCAAGTCCCAGAGCAAAGTCAGTTCAGGTCTGCTGAAGTACATATTATACGACTATGTTCACTGCCGAGACAGAGCGCTTACCCAGCCGCACCTGCGCTGGAGCGGGGTGACGCGTCCTGGTGACACTGCGGAACGCAGTGTGGACCAGTACAGCCTACTGTGGTGCATCGAGAGAGGTTACTGCCCTGCCAGTGGATTCCTGTTGCAGGATCAGTATCATGCATCAGAACCACCACAGCCTGCTGGCACGTATGCATCCACACGGCAGGCGTCTGAGAGCATCGCCGGCGCAGGCCGGCCCAGCTGGAAGCGCAGCTGTCACCTTGCTCGATGCCAAAGAGAGGAGACGGCTGCCACCACAGGCAGCATGTGAGCTTGAAAACGTGCAGCTATCCAACAATCCACTGAACTTACCATAGCAAGGTGAGGGTTCTTGCTAGCAATTCACCTCCCGGCGGACAGAGCTGCGAGCCTCTGTCGACTGTCCTGCACCGTGGTAACTCTCTGCTGTCGCCCATTTGTCTCTGCAACACCCTTGCAGCTGGATCAGCTGACGATGAAGCGCGCCGCAGGCGCCACTCGCTGGCGCTGCTGCATTGCCCGCAACGTTGACACGGGGCATGCATGCACTTCAACACCACGCAGCCAGACCACACTGTATTCCCCCGGCCTGTCTGTGAGTCCACCACACTGTATTGGCGCGATACATCACCAACACAAATTGAGGCAAGCGTTCTAGCCTATCTAGCTGGCTTGCTCGGGTCCCATGCTCAGTCCCTGCCTTCGCATTTTTGTTGAGGAACTAGTAATCCCACACTCGCAGGAGTGAGCATGAGGATGTGATGCGCAAACCAGAAACAAAACTCCTCAGAACTCATGGCTGGCTGCCTTCCACCTGGTATCCTGGCGCATCTGAAGATCTGCACTTGCGTGCCTGTTGCGGCACTCCTCACAGCTGGTAGCTCGCAAATCAAGGCCGACGGTCGGCTGGTGGGCACGGCAACGGTGGCGGCCACGCTGCATCAGTGGCTGCATGCAGGAAAGAAAAGTAACAACGAGAGGTTTGCCCGTCACAGCTCAGCGTTGCGCTCCCCCAGATATCGGCCGACATGGACATTGTGTGGAGGGTACTTGGGCACTGCAGTTGCTAGGCCATCAGCTATACTTGCTGTTGTTAGTGGGAATGACATGCACAAGCACACACGTTTGGTCCATTCCATGCTGCAAAGCCGTACGCATCAGCACAAATGGAAATGTGACTTCAAAGACCCCCAGTGCACACTGCATGGTGTGACAGGTTCACTTGGTCTTGTCACCAGCATCGCCCCCCATCTACCGCAACCACGTCGGCCTAAATTCAGGCCACAGTTTTTCCCCCTGGCATTGAGAGCAATAAACTCCCAACGCGAGTGATTGACTGCGGCGGCGCGCCATTGCCGCGACCCGCCTAATGGAAGGCGTTCGCGCTGGCACTGACTACCGTGTCGCGCACAGCAACAATTTGATTGAAAATACACCTCTATCCATTCATCTCAACTGCGCAAAAATACTTCAGCATACACCTATAGGAATATCACTTGTTCAGGCCGTAGAGGCCGCAGTGCTGCAGAGGCCGAAGTGCCGTCGGGTCGGTCAGCTGTGCCCCTGATCTGACTTGTGATCTGGCTCAGGCACAAGGAGTCGATCGAAGCAAGTTTAAATCGAGTCATTGAAGCAATCAGCATTGTGCTCGAATGCAAGTTTGCGGGTTTGCCAACGCGTGGGGTGACTGCTCGTTGCCAGCACACACTTGTCGCCCAGCAAGGCTTGCACCTCTCTCTTTTCAGTGCGGCCTCCAGTCGGGAGCGTTCCGCAACCATGGGTGAGCCGCCTGCCAGCCCGCCTGCATCGGCACCGGTGGAAGGGGCTTGGTTGGCAGCGGGCCGTCGAGCTCCGCAGTTCAGTCGAGCGCGTAGACAGGCATCAACAGGGACTTTGGCAGTGGCTACTGATGCCCCTGCGCATCCCCCAGCCTGGCCGCCAAGAGTGCAAGCATGGGGCACGAACTCCTGAGTCGCTCGCGGACAGCAGACGGGAAAACTGTTCTTAACGTGAAAATAGTCAGCCACACGCGCAGCTAGAGTCAGACGACAACAGCCGTGTTCGCGCATGCAGCGAATAGCGGCAGCGGCGCATGAGTGCGGCGCACAAGCGCGCAGTGAAGCAAACTGCGCTCGCTGCACGCGCCTGCGCACTGTGGCTGAGTCGGTGTTGTGCAGCCAGCTCTGGAGACAAGCTTGAGACTTGTAGTAGCAGCAAGGTATCTGAGGCGGGACGCACTTCATTGTACACATACCAACCTTGCCATCTTCTGCACAGGGATCTCCCGTGACAGCCTGCACAAGCGCAGGGCGACCGGTGGTCGCCAGAAGGCTTGGCGCAAGAAGAAGAAGTGAGCGTGCGCGGATCGCGCAGCCTGGCATGATCCACCAGCAGAGGGTGGCGGCAGGGTGCTGTCTGCAGCGCTGGGAGGAGGCAGCAGCCGGCTGCCGCGGCAACCGGCCGTACGCCGCCCATGCCGGCCCCCCATGTGTGCTTATGCAGCCCCGCCCTTTGTTTTCTCACTCTGCCCTGCCGCTATCCGTCAGGTATGAGCTCGGCCGCCAGCCCGCCAACACCAAGCTGAGCTCGCACGTGGCCGTGAGGACCGTGCGCACGCGCGGCGGCAACACCAAGTTCAGGGCGCTGCGCCTGGACCACGGCAACTACTCCTGGGGCAGCGAGGTGCGCGGCCGAAGGGAGCCTGCTGGCGCAGCGGCGGGCGGGCGCGCCTGGTGGCGCGGCGGCAGCTGGCGCGCGTGGCGGGAGCTGACGCAGTTTGGGCTTGCGCGCTCGTGTGTTGCAGAAGCGGCGGCTGCGGCGAGGATCTCCGTGCACAGACTGGCAATTCGCCGGGAGCACTTGGCGCAGCGGCAGCCAGGCTGCGGCGGCGGTTGCGTTAGCGGGCGTTGCTGCGCCAGCACATTGCCGTGGCTGGCCCGCCTTCGCTGCACCCCTGCGGTCCTGTATCACCCGCCTCACGATCACCACCCCAATGGACACCCACCCCCTGCTCCCCGATCATCC